CTGCGCTGCTGCTAATTGCGAGCTAACGACCCCCGGGGGCGGCGAGCGGACCGAGGGCGCCTCGGTAACGGTGTCGTTCCTGCCCCGCAGGCCTGATGATCACGTCGGCGGCAATTTACCACGTGCTGCACTTCTTCCACGTCACCATCGACATCCGAAACGTCTGCGTGTTCCTGGCTCCCCTCTTCTCCTCTTTCACCACCATAGTGACTTACCACCTCACCAAAGAGCTGAAGGTGAGGGGCAGATCGGGGCGCACCGTGCAGGCTTTTGCTTTACGGAGGAGCGCGGGCTCGCGGGCCTTTTGGAAAGGCAGCTCGGGGCCGTACCGGGGGCTTGGGGCTGACCGTGGCCACGCCGGTCAAAACCCGGAACTTCGGGGAACCGGGAGATCTGTTTTGACATTTCATTTCAACGCTCCGTGTTTTTTTTTTAATTCCTCTGAGGCGCGTCCGTGCGTCGGATGGCGCGATAACGGAAGCCCTGAAAGCTGATGGCTTATCCCACCCTCTGCCTGTGGGGTTTCTCTTTTTCCCCAGGACGCGGGGGCAGGACTCCTTGCTGCCGCCATGATCGCCGTTGTGCCCGGGTACATCTCTCGATCTGTTGCCGGCTCCTACGATAACGAAGGTGAGTTTGCGACGCCCGGAGCAGGGAAACCTTGAACAACTTCGGGTGCTGGAAAACGATGGTAAAGCTGCTACAGGGCGCGATAGAACCACCGTCCCTTCGCGGCGAGCCCTGCCAGCTCCGTGCGGTTTCCTAACCCGGCTGCTCGGAGGTGGGTGGTTGTTCTCGCCTGCGTGGTTGAGAAGAGGGGAGTGTTTCCCGACGCCGGCAGCGAGCGCACCCCGTTCCCCCAATATCCGCGTTTGCAAGGCAAAAAAGGGGTTTTGCCGCCTCCGCCAACGCTGCTTGGGATCAGAGCTGCTGCGCGGCTCCCCCCGTGGTTTTACCTCCCTTCCGGCAATGGCTTCGGGGCTGGCAAAGGCGGCGATCTCGTCGTCGATGCCTAGGGCGGAAGGGGATCCGGGTTCCTCTCCCGTGGCTGGGCTTTCGGGGGCCGGGG